GTTAAGAACATATTTCTAACCTCTCGGCACCATTTTATTTAAGCTCTGTTAATCTAAAGCAAGATGCTTTTCCGACATGACATCTAGTTTTGGCTTAGTTTATTTTCCATAATGTTTGTTTGGTAAAAATCAAACTGAACATCAATAATTTTAAATAACATTTTAAAGATATATTAAATTTCAAGGACACATTTTGTAATACATAAAACCCCGAGCTCCCCCACAAAAAATAAAAGCAGATAAGAAATTACAGAAAATAAACCTATAAAACAAGAAATTGTGAATTTGAAAAGATAAATAAATAATCATTAAAAATTAGTGTATTTCATCTTGAACAAGCATCATCGGAAAGGCTAAAATAATCCAGAAAAATGCGAACAGCGGTGCAAAGACTAGGACTAGAACCCCAGTGGACTGATTTCCACAACAAAGAACATAACCATCTGAGCTAGGCTCAGTTATATTCACGTGGAATGAAAGTGGAGTCAATAGAAAACAGATTTTCAACATCTTTAAAACAAAATACTCCCTCCGTCCGGAATTAGTTGTCGCAAAAATGGATAAAGTTGGATGTATCTTAGAATCAAAATACGTCTAGATACATCAATTCCTTCGACAAGTAATTTAGAACGGAGGGAGTATATATTAAGGAATAAAAACCATGAGAACTTTAGCAAACGAGTAGAACTTCTTTTGAAATGAAGATCACAAATGAAACTATAAAAATAAAAAAGTAAATCAAGAAATTGTGGGAAGTTAAATTACAACAATAAAATAATTAATATGAAAATGTAGCAAAAATATATGATGCAATTATCAAATGGCTAGATATGTATCGCCAACAAACTTACGCACTTGTTAATTTCTAATTCTTCTTATTGTGCGTTATACTTCTAATGTTTTCTAGTGTCGGGTTTTGCTCTTATTCAATCTTCCCTACAACGAGCACTCTGATCTTTTTCAAAATTTCTAAAAAACCATAATATTTTATGGTTTTCTCCAAAATGACTTTTAACTACAAGTTGGTTGTGCTTACTGGAATCTATGTCCACATGGACATTTTGCAAAAATAATTGACACATAGTCACCGCATTAGTCAACATAAATGATTGTGGGTAGAATTAATAGTTTTGAGTTGAGGAGGGTGTTGTAAGTTGTATTAAAAGCTCGATTTTTGAAAAAAATGGTTTATTGCTAGTGTTGTTTAGAACATAATTCACAACTCTCTGTATCATTCTATTTAAGCTTTATTAATCTAAAGTAGGATGGTTTTCTGACATAAAATCTAGTATCAACTTAGTTTGTTTTCCATAAGTTCGTGTGGTAAAAGAGCGAACCAAGCATCAATAATTTTTAAAAACATGTTAAGTATATATTCAATTTCAAGGAAACATTGTCGAATATATAAGATCTCGAGTTCTCTGGTAGGAAATAAAAAAAGATAAGAAACTATAGAAAATAAACCAATAAAACAACAAATTGTCAAATTTGAATTGAAAAATTCAAAGAAATTTATTTAAAAATACGACTCTATTTTGTGTTCTCCCTGTGCGGGAGCTCAGTTTGGTCAGGTCCAAGGTTCTCAGCCGACAACTCCAGCCATTCGATCTTGGTGTGAGACATTGTGCTGACACCATTGTCGCTTCCTCTCAAATTCCTAACCCTAGGCTCGCGGTGTGAGGAATGGTTGGGTGGTTTGATGCGGCTCAGTATTGGGTGTGGATTAATCTCGTGGGGTTTGTTAAGGTTCGACTGCGCACCGTATCGCACTACACTGAACAATAGATGCGCCCTAGCGAACATGTTTACTATATGCGAGTCCACAAAGACATGATGAGTCGGTCCATCTTGACAAAATTTGGGGAAGGGAAGGCAAATACTAAATGGGGGTAAAATCTATCATTTTGTAACAACATAGGGAGTAAAATCTATCATTTTGTATCAACACAGGGGGGTACAATCTATCATTTTGTATCAACATAGGGGTAAATGGTTGAAGAAACTCTTAATTGGAATAATTTGCGTCACAAATGCACAACTAGGATATAAAATGGTGGAATAAACTCTAAGAATAATTTGTTTCCATTTTCATAAAACCCCCTAATCTCTTGTGTCTTTTTTCATGATTTATGAGTTTCTCTATAATTCTGTGTGCTTACTTGAATTTTAATCTACATGGACAACGTGTACGAAATATTGACACATAGCCACCACATCAACCAAAAGAGACATGATGTGGGTAGAAGATGGTAGAATTGGCGGCTCTGAAAGTTGATGGCGGCATTGTGAGTTTTATTGAAGCTCGGATTTTTAAGCATGACAAATCAAACATTTTTCTGGCAAATTATGTTCTCATGGGGATGACTATTTTCTTTAGCAAGAATGAAAATCTTGGCAAAAAGCTGAACATGGCAATAATTTTTCATACTTACTTGCTAAAGAAAATTGTCATCCTCGCGAGAACATAATTTGTCATAAAAAAGTTTGATTTTTTTTATAAACAAAAAAGTTTGATTTCTCATGCTAAAAAATCTGGCGTTTGATTTGTGGTGAAATCCTTGACTAAAATGAACAAGTGGACACTATCTTTTGCTACTGTGTTGGCATTGGAGCAAACAAAGCTGAGGGGAGGCAAGGAAGAAGAGGAGGTTGGAGGTGGTCGTAGCGTAAAAGACAACAATCGATGCAAGCCCGCTGGAAACATGGGTAAATGGCACACGGCCAAGGTGATGATGGGTGGCTTTATAATGATCATGCCGTCTCGATCTAGCATGATCCTCCCTGGTGAGACAGGAGGAGGGCTGTCTGCCCGTGGGAGTTTGTTGATTACTCAGTTCCAAGGCGCATGATGTGCATGCAGCGGCACGGCAGAGGGGGGCATGATGGCTTTTCTCGCACACCGTGTGTACCGGAGTATCATCCATCATCTCAGATCTTCTCCCGAAGAGACAAACGCTTCTTAAAGAAAGGCCATGGATATATGCGTACCGAGGAAAAAGGCAGGCCAAAAGACGATGAATCTTGGATTCTTCTCCTCCCTTCCTCTTACGCGCAATCATGCGCGGGCTGCCCGCGTGTCGGCCTCCTGTCCTGTCCCGCCCCCGCCCCAGCCCGGGTTTTGGTTCTGCTGTCTTTGCTTTGCTTTTCTTCCCGGCCATGGTTTATACGTACTCGTGTTTGTTACACAGTGTACGAGCACGGCGGACAACGAGTACGTGATTACGCATGTTGTCTCCTGGCCTAGTGCCATCGCGCTCTAAAATTTATGCAGGGAGAATGTTCCACTGCGTGCATTACCCAATGCTCGCCCTGCTCTTCACTAGTAACATGCATATCTTTGCTAGCCTATGTTACTACCGGTAATAACATATGTGTGATATATGTGTGATGTCATGCAACACTTTATTTGTTAGCTTGTAGACTTAGGCTAGTTATAGAAACACTAGCCATAATGGGTATTAACATAGACTAATAACATGCCCTTCGCTGCCGCTGGCTCTGGCTACAGGCCACTGACCCCGCGCGGCCATGGAGCTACCTACAACTGCCGATCGACAAGGAGACATGTCAGTTCTTTCATGCCTCTACAACCTGGGCCATCGGAGATGGAAGCACATGCCGATTCTGCACCCATCATTGGATCGTTGGCTCCTCCGTTGCCGAGATCGCCCCGTCCCTGCTCTTCCTCATCCCGCGCCGCCGCCGTCGCCAACGTCTTGTCTGCGACGCCTTACAGAACTCCACCTGGATTGGGGACATCAACGGAGCTTTGTGCCCCGTCGCCGCCGTCGAGTATGTCGATCTTTGGCAGCGCATCCAGCGCTCTGCCGAGCCTGATATGATCACCTGGAAGTGGACCGAGAATGGGAGGCACTCGGCGGACTCTGCCTACCAGCCCATGTTCCGTGGATCAACTACAGCGCCACACTGGCGCCTCATTTGGCGATCATGGGCTCCGACCGAAGCCAAATTCTTCCTCTGGCTGGCATCCATGGACCGATGCTAGAGTGCTGAGTGTCGCGCAGGCCATGGCCTGCCACACGATCCCCTCTGCAAACTCTGTAGCCAAGAGTTGGAAACCCTTGACCACCTGCTTGCGCGATGCGTGTTCTCCAAGATAACTTGGCACGAGATTCTGTCTTGGTGCCGGCTACCTGTAGCCATCCCAAGCTCGACTGATGGATTCTTCTCCTGGTGGTCCGCAACCAACAGCTCGGCTCCGGCTCATATTCGCAAGGGGACGAACTCCCTCATCGTCCTCACCGCCTGGTCCATCTGGAAACATCAAAACGAAGCCGTCTTCGACAACGCCCCACCATCCAACAATGGTCTAGCCCGCACAATCAAAGATGAAGCTCGTTTGTAGGCTCGTGCTGGGGCCAAAAGGCTTGAAACCATCATTCCTGTAACATAAATAACTTGTATGTGAGGCTGAGCATCCTCCCCCCTCTGCTCCTCTCACACTCTAGTGGACGCCGTAGCGCGCATGCCTACCAGGGATGCACTCTGTACTTTCTCTTCATTCTATCAATGAAATGATACGCAACCATGCGCATTCATCAAAAAAACTAGTCTATGTTACCGCCTCTATAGCGGGGAGTAACACATGTGTGGTAAGAACATCTCCAACAGCCGCGCAACACGCGGCGCGCTAAAAAAGCGTGTGCAGCGCGCCGATCGCCTATTTTTGCGCGGCGAGGGGTGCTTGCTCCAGCGGCTGCTCAAAAATTTAGCGCGCGCGAGCCGCTGCAGCAGGCGCTGCAAATCTGGATAGTGCGCTCTCTCGCACAAACAACATATGCACTCCAAACAAATATAAAAAACATAGGCATAGATTAAAATAGCTAAAAAACGATACATAGATAGTTCACATAGCGTACATAGTTTTCATCATAGCATACATAGATAAAAAACTAGTCCAATACGATAAAATAGATAAAAACTACGGTGCAACTAGAACCTACTCCGAGTTGTGCTCATCATTCTTGCTGGTGTCGTCCAAGGTATCGAGAAACTCGTCTTCCCAACAAGGATCGTCTGAGTCAAAGAACGACTCTTGTCCTGCGGAAACGAGATTGCACTGTGCCGAAATGAGTGCCTTCCGCCGACGCCTGTCCGCCCGCTTCGCGCGGCACTTTGCCGTCCTCTCCGCCCAGAAGGCATTCTCGTCGGCGACGTCCTGCGGGTAGCGCTGGCGCCACTCTGCCATGGCTAGCTCGTCCGCCTCAGCGATGAGGAGGCGGCGCTGGCGTCTGCGATGTTCCTCACGGTCCTCGTCTGTTACAAGACGGGGCGGCGGCGCGAGGTCCTATGCCTGCTGGCACGTTTGCGCGTCGTAGAAGTTCATCTGCGAGCATGGCCTGCTGAGGCGCCACGCCACAGTATAGTAGGCGCGGGCGGCCTCGTGCGCGGTCTCGAACGTCCCGAGACTGAGACGCACGTTGGCAGAGCGAATCTCCGCGTAGAACCAGCCGGAAGGGCGGACGCGGACGCCGCGGTAGCCCGAGCTGCTTCGGCGACGCGACGGCATGTTGGCGGCAGGGGAAGGGCGCGGTGGCGGCGGGGAGCAGGATGCGAAGAAAAGAGGGGCGACGAGGGGAAGAAAGGGCCGATGGTAGCGGTCAAGTGTGCGGCTGGCTGCATCGGACGCGCGCGTTTTGTAGAGCGCGCCGGACGCCACACGCAAATCTAGCGCGCGAAGGGCCGCCTCCCCCCCCTGCGCGATCTTTTGCCGCTCGCCGGAATTTCCCGCACCCGCTGGAGCGCGTGAACCCGCTTCGTGGGCTAAAACTAACTTTTCCCCCGCGCGCGTGATATTTGCCGCCGCCGCTGGAGATGCTCTAACATGTAACACTTTATTTATTAGGCTATAGACACATCTTGCGTTGATATGTGTGATGTTACTCATACTACTAGTAACTAGGTATGTCACCACTTTCCTCTCTTTCTTCATTTATTGCTTGCCACATCATCTATTTTATTTAGATATGTGTGATGTTACTACCTATGTTACTTTCACTGTGGGTAGTCTTAGACCAGAGTCATGCATATGATACTAGTCTATATTACGACCTGCATAGTGCAAAGTAACACAGATTAAAGTAGTATCATATATGGGCCCATTTATTAGCTCATAGACTCAACTTTTTTTGGAAGCGCTATGTGATGGTAACAAAATATGTTACTCTAACCACCTCTCTCCTCATTAACTAGCTGTCATATAAGCAAGGTTGTCTTGGGATATGTTATGTTACTAGCTAAGTTACTCTCACTATGACTAGCCTTATCTTGTCTATGTTACTATCAGTAGTAACATATGTGTGGTGTCTTGCTATGTTACTCAATTCATCTATCTCATTAAATCATTGCCACATAAGTAAATTTGTTGAGTTGGACCTTATGTTACTGTTGAAGTTACTCCCATTGATATAAGAGTGAAACATTCTTATGTTTGTTATAGGTGGAGTACTACTTAAGGACAATTGTTGAAGGGGCTCTTGGAACAAGAATGGAGTTGTAGACACCGCTACCCTGTGTCATGTCATTGGAATGTCTCACGACCATTGTTGATGTGAAATCCAGCAGACACTGGGTAGTGTGCCGCAAGTAGTCGGAAAGCGTAGAAGGGAAAGATCAAACGTTTTACTCAGGTTCAAACCCTCTCTATAGAGGTAAAACTCCACTCCTGCTCATGTTGGATTGATTTGATGCGGGTGTACAATAACAATCTCTAAGATTAGAAGTATACTGAGGATGATGATAAGGTGCCCTAATGACTACCCTGGCCTTGACTTGCAAAAGATAGCCGAGGCCTAGGGTTACATTGGTCCTAGTCGGCAAGGGCGGCTGGAGAGTGCTCCTGGAGATGAGGTCTTCTTACCTTGGACGTCAAGATATCATTTCCTTCTAGAGGGCCCATGATACGTCTCTAACGTATCTATAATTTTTGATTGTTGCATGTTATTATATTATCTATTTTGGATGTTTTATATGCATTAATATGCTATTTTATATTATTTTTGGGACTAACCTATTACCCTAGAGCCCAGTGCCAATTCCAGTTTTTCCCCTATTTTTGAGTTTCGCAGAAAAGGAATACCAAACGGAGTCCAAACAGAATAAAACCATCACGATGATATTTCTTGGACCAAAAGAAAACCAGGAGACTTGGAGATGAAGTCGGAGGAGCCACGAGGCGGCCACAAGGACGGAGGGCGCGCCCCCCACCCTTGTGGGCCCCTCGCGCACCTCCTGACCTAATTCTTTCGCCTATATATTTCCATATATCCCCAAACCACCAGAGGCATCCACGAAAACACTTTTCCACTGCCGCAACTTTCCGTACCCGTGAGATCCCATCTATGGACCTTTTCCGGCACCCTGCCAGAGGGGGATTCGATCACAGAGGGCTTCTACATCAACTCTATTGCCCTTCTGATGAAGCGTGAGTAGTTTACCACAGACCTACGGGTCCATAGCTAGTAGCTAGATGGCTTCTTCTCTCTCTCTTTGATTCTCAATACCATGTTCTCATCGATGCTCTTGGAGATCTATTCGACGTAATACTTTTTTGCGGTGTGTTTGCCGAGATCCGATGAATTGTGGATTTATGATCAGCTTATCTATGAATATTATTTGAATCTTCTCCAAATTCTTTTATGCATGATTTGATATATTTGTAATTCTCTTCGAACTATCGGTTTGGTTTGGCCAACCTGATTGGTTTTTCTTGCAATGGGAGAAGTGCTTAGCTTTGGGTTCAATCTTGTGGTGTCCTTTCCCAGTGACAGTAGGGGCACAAAGCACATATTGTATTGTTGCCATCGAGGATAAAAAGATGGGGTTTTCATCATATTGCTTGAGTTAATTCCTCTACATCATGTCATCTTACTTAATGCGTTACTCCGTTATTTATGAACTTAATACTCTAAATGCATGCTGGATAGCGGTCGATGTGTGGAGTAATAGTAGTAGATGCAGAATTGTTTTGGTCTACTTGACACGGACATGATGCCTATATTCATGATCATTACCTTAGATATCGTCATAACTTTACGCTTTTCTATCAATTGCTCGGCAGTAATTTGTTCACCCACCATATTATTTTCTATCTTGAGAGAAGCCACTAGTGAAACCTATGGCCCCGGGTCTATTTTCCATCATATAAGTTTCCGATCTACTATTTTGCAATCTTTTACTTTCCGATCTATAAACCAAAAATACCAAAAATATTTACTTTGCCGTTTTTTACTTTCATCTATCTCTATCAGAACTCAGTTTTGTAAGTAATCGCGAAGGTATTAACAACCCCTTTATCGCGTTGGGTGCAAGTTGTTTGATTGTTTGTGCAGGTATTCGGTGACTTGTGTGTTGTCTCCTATTGGATTGATACCTTGGTTCTCAAACTGAGGGAAATACTTATCTCTACTTTGCTGCATCACCCTTTTCTCTTCAAGGGAAAAAACCAACGCAAGCTCAAGAAGTAGCAGGAAGAATTTCTGGCGCCGTTGCCGAGGAGATCTAGCCCAAGTCAAGACGTACCAACTACCCATCATAAAACTCTCATCTCTTGTATTACATTATTCACCATTTGCCTCTCGTTTTACTCTCCCCCACTTCTAAAATGATTTTCGAAAAGATTTGCCTTTTTCTTCGCCCTTCTTCCGTTCATTTTTTCATTAGCCCTTATGTCTTACTTGGTTTGTTTGCTCGTTTGCCTGGTATAATTGTGTGTTTATTGAAATTTGGAACCAAAGGTTTATGGATCTTCATCCACTTGCTAATCTTTTTAAGAGATCCAATTATGATGAACCAATTGCTAGCGAGTTGAGTGGACTAGATTATCTTTATGAAGTTTTGCTTGAGATCCGTGAATCTGAAAATTGTGATGAAGTGCTTTATGAAGTGACTCACGACAGATCTTTGAATGAAAAGCATGATTGCAATTATGTTATTATAAATTCTATTAATGTCAGTTCTGTTAATTATATGCAAAACCCTAAGCTTGGGGATGCTAATTTTGCTATGTCTACTACTTGTTGCAATGATCATGATTGGGGTGATTCTTCTTATGATTTTGAAAATTTATTTAAGCCCCATGATGAATATGAGATTGATAATAATGTTTGCAATAATATTGAAAGTGGGTTTGGAAGATTTATCAACTTTAGATCCACATATTTGGAGAATATTCAATCTTATGATTTTTTTTATAAAAGTAAAGGTCATGACTTTATTTGATGGTAATCCCATTATTTGGGAAGAGTGTCAACTTTGCATGCATGTGGAACATCTAGAGAATATGTTATGTGATAGCTATATTGTTGAATTTGATTATGATCCTACATGTAATTATTATGAGAGAGGAAAATATGGTTGTAGAAATTTTCATGTTACTTAATTACCTCTCGTTATGTTGAGATTGTCAATGTTTTATTCTTTTTCCTTGCATACACTAGTTTTTGCTTGTCTTCATAATTTATTTGCTTATAAAATGCCTATGCGTATGAAGTATGTTAGACTTAGATGTGTTTGTCACATGCACTGTTCAAGAATTCATTCGATTAATCAGTTAACGGGCCAGTTATTCGCTACTTGTAGGGTGACCGAATCGAATAACACCTATTCATCGTGTTAACTTGCCAGGCCGATTAATTGGCCAGTTAGACTGATTAATCGATTGTTAGGCCGATTAATCTTTGTTGATCCATTAACTGTGGGCAAACAAAACCCGAAAATTTTCCTAGTAACCCCTCCCATCCCCCTCTCGCTCCTCAATAGCTAGGGTTCGACCAAACAGTAGCATATTTTGGTATATTATCTAGTTGAGAGCATGAGAGTATGGTATAATACATAAAAAACTAGATAAGTGTTAGCAATTCTTGTTTAATCCGATTAATCCAGTTAATAGGCCGATTCACCGATTAATCACTACTCCCACCGAGCAGCTACCAGCTACCGATTTCCTGAACAATGGTCACGTGTTTTATGATGCTCTCTTTGTGCTTCAATTCTTGTCTTTCGTATCATTGAAATCTCAAAGCCTAGCTTAATGGCTTTAAAGAAAAGCGCTTGTTGGGAGACAACCCAATATTTTTCTTTTCTATTTTTCAATAAATAATTCATCTAGCCTTTGGTTATATGTGCTTTTGTGCTTTAATTAGTGTTTGTGCCAAGTAAGACCTTTTGAATGGCTTACAGTGATAGTTG